TTATATCTATTGCTTAAAAGGGACCAACAAGCCAAACAATTCCATTCATTTCTGATTAACAAATATATACGTAATATGTAGCAAAACAAACAAAATGAGAATATGATTTATATTATGCTTACTTGAAACTCAACAACCTAACATACTTGCACTACAAATTCCAGACATAAACAGATAAATCAATTTTAATTAAATAAGGGAAATGATAATGTTATGGCATGGACATTGGCATTCATTGTTACGGTAGTGACAATTCTAATAATAGCCAGTTTTATATGTTCACTTTAAAAGATAATTTAATGAAGTTTGTCAGTCAGATATTTCAGAATGTCAGAAGAAAATGTCATAAGCAAAATATGTCCCTGTCATGTAAAAAACAGGTAAAGACTGCAAGTTACGGCAGTGACATTGTGTCGGTATATAATGTCACTACCGTAACGGCCCTATCACAGCCGTGTTCATCTTTGTCACAGCCGTTACACTATCCTGTCCTTACCGTAACAGAAGTCATACTTATGTGCTTATTGATTATATTCATTTGATACAAGTTTTTATGTTAAATATGATTCCAAAACATTTGATATATTTAAATTGAAAATTTAGACACAAACAACATTAAACTAGCTATAGAAAAATGCCACTGTCGTCACAAAATCTGTCCTTACTGTAAGAAAACCCATGATAACGACAGTGACCGTAACGGTAGTGACAGCCACTAACAATATCAGTTTAAAAACAATAACTGGTCCCCAAAGTTCACTGAGCACATGGTTCTAAATGATTCCCCTACTGTCCTAGGTACTTGGCGTTGTCTGGCTTCACAAAATTTATTTGTTTCAGAGGTAGCCACAGTAACGGTTATGACATGCAAAAATCTCAGATATCATTTTGTACACACCTTTTTTTGCGACAAAATTCAGAAAATGATTTTTTTGTGTCAGTGTTTGACAGCCATGTTTCCTCACTGCCATTGCTTGAAAACATGAAGTAGAATAATATTAGAAGACAGTAAAGGGAGCAATCATTATTGCAATTTTTTGGGAATGTTACGGTAGTGACATAAAACTTAGTGACAAAGTTTGACCTTTTCTTACAAAATGTTTTTCCATACAAAAAAGGCCACACCACGCCAAGCATGTACCTGTAACATCATTAGTTATGACATGTTAAACATTTCTTTTGAAAAATATGAAAACAAAAATCAAATTGCACATCGGCCACTAGAGTTGTGACACATGAAAATTGAGTAAAATTGTGTGGTTTGGAGGTTTAAAATAAATATAAAAATATTTGTTTTCCCAATTTTGTTACTGTAAAGTGTAAAATAAACATAGATAAATTGGTTACCAATTTGTTTTATTGATTTTGACTCAAGTTTGTCGGGTTACAACATAAATATGCACGAATTTTGAGAATGACTCATAACATTGACAAACTAAATACAACTAAAGTTGCTTCAAATACAACAACTGACAACCACATACAATTGAAGGTACCCAAATACAACCATTGGCAACCAAATATAAATGAAGGTACCAAATACAACCATGCATTGGCAACCAAATATAACTGAAGGTACCAAAATTCAAGGAGCGAGTGAATTAAAACTTAGCGTCACATCGGCAATATTTCAGCCATATCGTGACGAGAACAATTTCATTTATGTATGTTTTGAAAGAAATAAAAAATCTAGAACGTAAACACCTGTCATCGAAGGGCAGTAAAAATACTAGAGTATCACAGCTCTTAATTTAAAACTAGCATGTGAAACTAAAACATTTTAATCCAAGAAGACAATACAATATAAAACTCGGGCTATAGATCGCCAACAACTGAAGGTAGATCATACTAGGAACCATGCATGCATGAGGACTTACAGTGCCTTTGCTACCTGCATGGACCCTAGTTGGATTTACACCATCCCCTCAGCCGATGGCGATTGTAGGAAAACAACAAAAATACTACGTTTGAAAATTTGGTAAGCTTAAATTTAACTTTAAATGTTTTGGGACTTACATATCCTCTCAGGAGGACAAAAAATTTCCAGTACTGCAACTCGCTTTGAGGATACAGCCACTAACAATCTCAGTTACTAATCTAAACTACTTCTAATAAAATATGTATCTATTTGCAAACCATGTATCAAAATTTATCTTGTAATTCTATTTCTTTTAAAAACTAAATAATTAAATGATAGTTAACATTAGAAAGATCCTTCACTGTTTTGACATTGAAATATTTATCCCTTGTGATGTACCAAAATACAACCATTGACACCCAAATACAATTGAAGATACCCAAATACAACCATTGACAACCAAATTGCCCATGACAACGTTTGAAAACACCTTTACGGTCGAGGGAATGATCAGTCTGTATCAGTTCTGATCCGAGTATGTTTGTGCGCCAACCAGAAGTTTCACTATGACACACGGAAATCATGACTTCGGCAGCATTCATTTTGTCGTTGATTATAAGGCTTCCTGTTTACAGTACTGTAACCTAATTACTTTAAACCCTACCAGACTAATTCGGAACATTTATTAAATACAAATAACAAGTTAATCTGCAGATACATATGATGAAAGAAGTGTTTCTATTGATTTAATATTCATTTACGGTAATCCGGGATTAGCGAAATGATGGTCAGTTCAATACGGGCGGAACAATACAATTGTAGGATTAGAAAATGTGTCACGATCGAATCTTATTTTCATGTTCATTGTTCGACACATTATCCGATAGGGAAATAAAAGCGGTGACCAAGCATATATTTAATTCTAATGACGCAATAGCATTTTACCACTTTCAACCTGAAATATCGGGTTGAGTTAATCAATACATCTCTGTGAGGTTTCGTGTCAGTATTTCCAATTTTCAATGATACAGTTAGATACAACTGTCATTAAATGTTTGAACTTACCACGACAGTGAGTGTTGTATACATGCCGCCACCTATCACAGACTTGTCAACAGTATAATCTAGGCCAGAACTACAACAAACGTTTCACTTCCCAATATATATAGGTGTCCCCACCCAACACGCTGTAGTAGATGGGACCAGAATACTTACATACAAACTCATTTAGCCTCCGTAGGTGTGAATGCGTTTAGTGTTACGCCGCACTCAGCAATATTCCAGCCATCGAGTCTTGACCAGACAATCCAGTGATCAACAGCATGAACATCGATCTACATAATTGTGATACGATGACATGTGCCAAACAAGTCAGCGAGCCTGACCACCCGATCCCGTCAGTCGCCTTTTACGACAAGCATGGTTTAGTGAAGATCAATATTCTAAGCCGGATCTTCACGGGTGCCTCCGTATAATATGGAGTCAGCATTCGCATTCATTCATATTCATACGTATTCAGTACGACCCTGTATTATCTTGAGCCAGTATATGTCTATACGTTTTCATTATGAATCCGTATTATCTTGAGCCAGTATATGTCTATACGTTTTCATTATGAATCCGTATTATCTTGAGCCAGTATATGTCTATACGTTTTCATTATGAATCCGTATTATCTTGAGCCAGTATATGTCTATACGTATTCATTTGACCCGGCATTGTATGTCTATATGTATAGCTGGCGTATGTACATACGTATTGATTATGTCTCTATACGATATGACAAGCAAAGGTACATACATATTCATTAGAAGTGTCACAATAATATTTTCATGCGTACATGGTACCGTGATATGTCACTCCGAGATCTTGAATATATTTCCCTCTCTCTGGACGAGAACCAAACTATTATTTAGCGTTCTGTATAAGTCAGTATCTTATCTCCAGGGTGAGGTTACACGGGACAGCCCTGTGTGCCGGACACACAGATAGACTTCCACCAGTCATTATCCCACAACCTTCCTTGACGAGGTCAGACAATGTATTCGTAAGGCGCGGCAATTCGCAATACAGAGTAGCGTCCCTTGGACACTGTAAATAGCTTAAGTTGTTGCTTCTAATTAAATAATTATAGGTTTGTCAACGCCAAACCTGCAGCGCACTGGGCTTTCTTCCAACATTACACTTATACTTCAAAAATGAGCGGGATACATCTGAAAACAAAAAAAGGATCCAATATTGTAAGAAATAAGTAGTACTTGTAAGATAATGAACGCCGGGGGCACACTTATACCGGTAGTGAAGTATAATAGTAGATCTTATGACTCCCAAAAGATGTTGAAGGACATAGGGGTCAGACGGGAAATTGAGTTTACTGTGCATCAGTATTTCGTAACACCGCCACGACCAGTCAAAAATTCATTCAATAGACAAAGCATACTGTGTGTGGATGTCTTTATGGCAAATTACGGACTGCATTTCACTCCTCTTGTAGCGCCCTGCCAAGTTCAAATCAAATGAAAATTTATTCCTTAGTCAACAAACAATATGCATTTAATACTAGTACAGACTAGATAATTTATCTTCACGAGTGTTCTTTCGGTATCGAAACAGACAAGTTGTAATATTCTCTTGTACAATTCTGAATCATTTATTTTCAAGTGAAGAGCAAAAGAAACTAATTTTATAATATAAAAACATGAACTATATTGGCGCCCTTAAAGAATACGTTGTTCTAACATATGTTATAATTTGATTTTAATAAACAAATACAATCCATAGCACACAGCGGCGTTTCTTAGACATAGTGTCTTTGAAATTCTGTAAATGTGCTTTCTGGGGCACAATTTTACCTGTTAACATGGGCGTGGTCACAGGGATGAATAGTCATTGTTCAATCAAGTCTTCATTAAACTTTGACTCAGTATATTAAAACTCAATTACCCAGCCACGGATTCCGGTTTACTTAACCCGTGAAGATCCGGGTTAGAATTGGTCCTCAGTAATCCATGCTCGTCGTGAAAGGCGACTAGCGGGATCGGGTGGTCACTCTCGCTGACTTAGTTGACACATGTCATCGTATCCCTACTGCGTAGAAAGATTTTCATGATGTTGATCACTGGATTGTCTTCAGACACGATTTATACCGACCGCCGCCTTATAGCTTGAATATTGCTCAGTGTGGCATAACACAACAAACAAACAAACAAACAAACAAAACGATCAAAGGTCAACTTGAATTCGGAGTTGGTGTGAGAGGCGAAATACCATTATGACGTCACAGTTAGACCACGCAAAATATTCAATGACGTCACAGCTATAAATGACGACATCGCTATGCACGTAATATGGCACAGTTTCACAAAGCTATCGTAGCGCTACGACTGTCGTAAGTCTCTAACTATTACAGTATAGGAGGTACGACAGTCGAAGCGCTACGATAGTTTTGTGAAACAGGACCCAGATATCCCTGATATTGGGCTCTTCCTGTCAGGCAGAACCACCACCAGGTGTCGCTGTGATCTCTTCCTCCGTATCCTCCTTCTCCCTGTTGCCATGTTTCAGCATCTTGGTGAACTCGGTGTAGTTGAACTTGCCGTCGGTGATGGGTGCATCCGAGAACAGCTCATCCACCATCTCATCCGTCCATCTTTCCCCCATCGTTGTCAAGTCGCTGCGCAGTTCATCTTCGAGGATAAAACCTAGGGTAGATAACAACCATTGGATATTACATGTATTAGAAAACAGCACTGTTAAATTGTAGCGGCATTACAAACATTAACAACAACACCACCAATAACAACAATATCATCATCATCTTCATGAACAACAACCACTACTACTACTACCACTACTACTACTACTACTACCACTGCTACTACTACTACTACTACTACTACTACTACTGCTACACGATACATTCATGAAAATTTGTTAAAAGGAGACCATCCTCCGTTCCATTGTCCTCCTGGGATGCGAAAGTCTCAAAATATTCAAAGTAAATTTAAGCTTACTAGACTTTTTAAATGCAGTATATTTGTGATTTTAACTGCAATCGCCAACAGCTGAAGGGGTGATGTAAATCCAGCTAGGGTCCATACAGGTAGCAAAAGTACTGTAAGTCCACATGGTCAATAGTTGTCTACTTTCACTTGCTGGCGATCTATAGCCCAGTTTTACAATATGTTGCTGTTTATTAATTCATTCTCTTAAATTCTATGCTACCAACTATACGTTTAACATATACATACATGTGTATGAACAAGCCAGCAAATGTTAAGAGCGGTTATCTAACAATGCTTTATACCTACCAAAATTAGACAAATTATCATGTATGTATTTTGGGCGGTGGGCGTATTACTGAAATTAATATGTCTGTCTGTTACATTTCTTGTCACGTCTACGTCTGCCATCAAGGCTACTACTATTGCAATGACTCCGTATACGTCTAGTAAGAACAGAGTGCATATGGTACTTATATAACTACGCTGTTTGCTAATACCACTACCAGTTTTACTACTACTTACACCAACCACCACCACTACTACTACTACTACTACTACTACTACTACTACTACTACTACTACTGACCCGTGAAGATCCGGGGTAGAATAGGTCTTCAGCAACCCATGTGCTTGCCATAAAAGGCGACTATGCTTGTCGTAAGAGGCGACTAACGGGATCGGGTAGTCAGTTTCGCTGACTTGGTTGACACATGTCATCAGTTCCCCATTGCGCAGATAGATGCTCATGCTGTTGATCACTTGATTGTCTGGTCCAGACTCGATTATTTACAGACCGCCGCCATATAGCTGGGATATTGCTGAGTGCGGCGTAAAACTAACCTCACTCACTCACTACTACTACTACTACTACTACTACTATTACTACTACTACTACTACTACTACTACTACTACTACTACTGCTGCTGCTGCTACTACCACCACCACCACCACTACTACTGCTACTACTACTAGTATAACTTCTAATAAATGGCGGTGGGCTGGCCTAGTGGTTAAAGCGTTCGGTTTCGATTTTCCACATGGGTACACTCACTCACTCACTCACTCACTCACTCACTCACTCACTCACTCACTCACTCACTCACTCACTCACTCACTCACTCACTCACTCACTCACTCACTCACTCACTCACTCACTCACTCACTCACTCACTCACTCACTCACTCACTCACTCACTCACTCACTCACTCACTCACTCACTCACCACCACTCACTCACTCACTCACTCACTCACGCACTCACTCACTCACCACTCACTTCACTCACTCACTCACTCACTCACTCACTCACTCACTCACCACCACTACTCACCACTCACTTCACTCCTCACCACCACCACTCACTCACTCACTCACCACTCACTCCGTCACTCACTCACTCCCTCACTCACCTACTCACTCTTGCACTCACCACTCACTCACTCTTCACCACTCACTCACTCACTCACTCACCACCACTCACTCACTTCACTCACTCACTCACTCATCACTCACTCACTCACTCACCACGCACTCACTCACTCACTCACTCACTCTACTCACTCACTCACTCACGCACTCACTCACTCACTCACTCACTCACTCACTCCCACTCACCTCACTCACTCACTCACTCACTCACTCACTCACTCACCACTCACCACTCACTCACTCACCACCACTCACTTCACTCACTCACTCACACTCACTCACTCACTCACTCACTCACTCACTCACCACTCACGCACCACTCACTCACCACTCACGCACTCACTCACTCACTCACTCACCACTCACTCACTCACTCACTCACTCTGCCTCCACTCACTCACTCACTCTCACGCACTCCTCACTCACTCACTCACTCACTCACTCACTCACTCACTCACTCACTCACTCACTCACTCACGCACTCACTCACTCACTCACTCACTCACTCACTCACTCACTCACTCACTCACTCACTCACTCACTCACTCACTCACTCACTCACTCACTCACTCACTCACTCACTCACTCACTAATACATGTCTAAAAAAACCCCGCAACTGTAAATATCATTGTTGTAATCTGTGTTCACCTCTTCGTCTGTCATCAATGCAGCGGAAGGCGTTCACGATGACGTCTTCAGGATCAGTACCCTCCAGCTTCTGTCCAAACATTGAGAGGAACATGGTGAAGTTGATGGGTCCCGTCGCCTGCTTCATCATGGCGTCCAGATCGGAGTCGGTTGTCTGCTTCCCGAGGGACGTCAGCATCTGCCGCAGGTCGTCCTTGTCGATAAACCCGTCGCCGTTCTGGTCGATCATGGTGAACGCCTCCTGTTATAACCGATGGTTCTTCTAGATTAAGATTGTCGTAATTAACGATTGTCGACTGTAATATTGTCGTACTTACCGTATATTGATCGCTGATCTCATTCTCCTGTATCCACCAAGTGTGGTGGTGTGCATAGAGCTCAGGTCACAAATCAGGTGAAGTTCTGCAACGTTGGGCGCGGAGAGTCTTTGAATGGGTGACCGTGTTTGGCAGCTTGACTTCTGAGAGTTTCTAGGACTTCAGTCATTGCCCCACAACGAAGCACGTGTGATAGACGTGGTCTCACGTCAGGCAAGTGAGTTTGTTAAAAAATGTCCCTGTTCACCCAGTAGAAAATGGGTACCCGGTGGAAGTCATGGGATAATAACCCTCTACATGCAGCTAGGGTTATTAGTGGTAATAATAATCAGATTGTTTGGGGGCGTATCGAGCATACATTGTTCATGGATAAATGCGCATGATAAATGGACTATTATTATCAATCAAGTGCGGGACGCTCTCTCCCCACCCCCTCACCCCCCCACATACACACACACACCCTTCTCCCAAATCCTGGATCCGCCCTTACTATTATTATTATTATCATTATGTATCCGAGCTACAAGGCTCGGCACGGCACTTAGTGACTTTATCTTCTATTTTGATCAGGTGTCGCTCAAACATGGACATGACAATTTAATTACTTGACATTCCCGATTTGACCTGGGTCAAACAAGGTCAAGGTCATATGTACACCAATGTACGTGGTCATTCCGGATCTAAATTGGGTAATTAATGGACCTAAGTCTAAGTACATTTTACCATATTATAATGAACCTAGATTTTCCCTGTAAATAATGAACCTAGATTTAATCACTGTTTACCGTATATTCCCGATAAATAATGAACCTAGATTTAATCACTGTTTACCGTATATTCCCGATAAATAATGAACCTAGATTTAATCACTGTTTACCGTATATTCCCGATAAATAATGAACCTAGATTTAATCACTGTTTACCGTATATTCCCGATAAATAATGAACCTAGATTTAATCACTGTTTACCGTATATTCCCACTAATTATTTTACCTTGTATTCCCGGATAACGGTGGGGTCAAACATGGACAACACATTGGACAGTTTCCGGGAGCGGCGACGGGTATGGATGCGCATCTGTGCCATCGTCGTGTACAACTGGAAATGGACAACACACTTCGTGTACGCCAATGCTAAAGGAATTCATTGCTTTGTATTTTGTTGAACGATCAAATAGAGCCACAGTTCTACGTTGTGTTGAGGGAACGTAATGAAGTTGTACGTTAAGTAATAGACACTATATCAAGTGGTTCGTTCAGTAATATACACTGTATGGAGTTGTACGTTAAGTAATAGACATTGTATGGAGTTGTACGTTCAGTAATATACACTGTATGAAGTTGTACGTTAAGTAATAGACACTGTATGAAGTGGTTCGTTCAGTAATAGACACTGTATGAAGTGGTACGTTCAGTAATATACACTGTATGGAGTGGTACGTTCAGTAATATACACTGTATGGAGTTGTACGTTCAGTAATATACACTGTATCTAGCTGTACGTTCAGTAATATACACTGTATCAGGAGTAGCTGTACGTTCAGTAGTAATGACACTGTATCTAGCTGTACGTTCAGTAATATACACTGTATGAAGTACGTACGTTCAGTAATAGACACTGTATGGAGTTGTACGTTCAGTAATATACACTGTATGAAGTGGTACGTTCAGTAATATACACTGTATGAAGTTGTACGTTCAGTAATATACACTGTATGGAGCTGTACGTTCAGTAATATACACTGTATGGAGCTGTACGTTCAGTAATAGACACTGTATGGAGTGGTACGTTCAGTAATATACACTGTATGGAGTGGTACGTTCAGTAATATACACTGTATGGAGCTGTTCAGTAATATACGTTCAGTAATATACACTGTATGGAGCTGTACGTTAAGTAATATACATACATACACTGTATGATGTTGTATGTTCAGTAATAGACACTGTATGAAGTGGTACGTTAAGTAATAGACACTGTATGAAGTGGTACGTTCAGTAATATACACTGTATGGAGTTGTACGTTCAGTAATAGACACTGTATGAAGTTGTACGTTCAGTAATAGACACTGTATGAAGTGGTACGTTCAGTAATATACACTGTATGGAGTTGTACGTTCAGTAATATACACTGTATGGAGTGGTACGTTAAGTAATATACACTGTATGGAGTTGTACGTTAAGTAATATACACTGTATGGAGTTGTACGTTAAGTAATATACACTGTATGATGTTGTACGTTTAGTAATAGACACTGTATGAAGTGGTACGTTCAGTAATAGACACTGTATGGAGTTGTACGTTCAGTAATAGACACTGTATGGAGTTGTACGTTAAGTAATATACACTGTATGGAGTTGTACGTTAATATACAAGTAATATACACTGTATGAAGTGGTACGTTCAGTAATAGACACTGTATGGAGTTGTACGTTCAGTAATAGACACTGTATGGAGTTGTACGTTCAGTAATATACACTGTATGAAGTGGTACGTTCAGTAATATACACTGTATGGAGTTGTACGTTCAGTAATATACACTGTATGAAGTGGTACGTTCAGTAATATACACTGTATGAAGTGGTACGTTAAGTAATATACACTGTATGAAGTGGTACGTTCAGTAATACACACTGTATGGAGTTGTACGTTCAGTAATATACACTGTATGGAGTTGTACGTTCAGTAATATACACTGTATGGAGTTGTACGTTAAGTAATATACACTGTATGATGTTGTACGTTTAGTAATATACACTGTATGGAGTTGTACGTTCAGTAATAGACACTGTATGAAGTTGTACGTTCAGTAATAGACACTGTATGGAGTGGTACGTTAAGTAATAGACACTGTATGGAGTTGTACGTTCAGTAATAGACACTGTATGGAGTTGTACGTTAAGTAATATACACTTAATGATGTTGTACGTTAAGTAATATACACTGTATGGAGTTGTACGTTAAGTAATAGACACTGTATGAAGTGGTACGTTCAGTAATAGACACTGTATGGAGTTGTACGTTAAGTAATAGACACTGTATGAAGTGGTACGTTCAGTAATAGACACTGTATGGAGTTGCACGTTCAGTAATAGACACTGTATGGAGTTGTACGTTAAGTAATAGACACTGTATGGAGTTGTACGTTAAGTAATAGACACTGTATGAAGTGGTACGTTCAGTAATAGACACTGTATGAAGTGGTACGTTCAGTAATAGACACTGTATGAAGTGGTACGTTCAGTAATATACACTGTATGGAGTGGTACGTTCAGTAATATACACTGTATGAAGTGGTACGTTCAGTAATAGACACTGTATGAAGTGGTACGTTCAGTAATAGACACTGTATGAAGTGGTACGTTCAGTAATAGACACTGTATGAAGTGGTACGTTCAGTAATAGACACTGTATGAAGTGGTACGTTCAGTAATAGACACTGTATGAAGTGGTACGTTCAGTAATTCACACTGTATGAAGTGGTACCACTCAGTAGTGTCTACTATATACACAGTGTCTATATAGCTGTACGTTCAGTAATATACACTGTATCTAGCTGTACGTTCAGTAATATACACTGTATCTAGCTGTACGTTCAGTAATATACACTGTATCTAGCTGTACGTTCAGTAATATACACTGTATCTAGCTGTACGTTCAGTAATATACACTGTATCTAGCTGTACGTTCAGTAATATACACTGTATCTAGCTGTACGTTCAGTAATATACACTGTATCTAGCTGTACGTTCAGTAATATACACTGTATCTAGCTGTACGTTCAGTAATATACACTGTATCTAGCTGTACGTTCAGTAATATACACTGTATCTAGCTGTACGTTCAGTAATATACACTGTATCTAGCTGTACGTTCAGTAATATACATATACACTATCTAGCTGTACGTTCAGTAATATACACTGTATCTAGCTGTACGTTCAGTAATATACACTGTATCTAGCTGTACGTTCAGTAATATACACTGTATCTAGCTGTACGTTCAGTAATATACACTGTATCTAGCTGTACGTTCAGTAATATACATTGTATCTAGCTGTACGTTCAGTAATATACACTGTATCTAGCTGTACGTTCAGTAATATACACTGTATCTAGCTGTACGTTCAGTAATATACACTGTATCTAGCTGTACGTTCAGTACAATATACACTGTATCAGTAATGTACGTACAGTAATAATATACACTGTATCTAGCTGTACGTTCAGTAATATACACTAGCTGTACGTTCAGTAATATACACTGTATAGCTGTACGTTCAGTAATATACACTGTATCTAGCTGTACGTTCAGTAATATACACTGTATCTATCTACGTTCAGTAATGACACGTATCAGCTGTAATTCAGTAATATACACTGTATCTAGCTGTACGTTCAGTAATATACACTGTATCTAGCTGTACGTTCAGTAATATACACTGTATATACTAGCTGTACGTTCAGTAATATACACTGTATCTAGCTGTACGTTCAGTAATATACACTGTATGAAGTATGTATATGACACATGACTGGACACAACATGTAATTGTTCGTTGAGTAATATACACTGTATCTAGCTGTACGTTCAGTAATATACAATAATTTCTAGCTGTAGTTGGGATAGATAAAGTTCGTCCACTCACCTTGGGTAGAGGGGTGACAGAGCTGTGGTGCAGTATCCGTATATCCAGCCAGTCAGTCGTCACATTGTCTAATCTGCCACACGCCTCGACAGAGGTACATGTTTAATACGTGTTTCAACGTGGCGTAAACATTTTCAATACTCTTCTGTAATCCTTTGTATGGTGTTCGTTCATACAATAGACGGGACGTCGTTATAGTTGACGGAGAGAAGGTGTGGGTTTTCGGGGGTTTCCGGGGAGAATAATATGTGTGTGTGGGGGGGGAGGGTTGTCGCCTTACCTCATTGTGTAGAGCTGCCTAGTTGACGCTTTTCGGGTTCCCATGTGAGTGAGGTCAAATTCTACACTAGCCACAGTTATAATGCTTGGTTTGATGATACCCGAATGTGATAGACGGTCTGAACCAGCGGGGTATCCCTTATACAACTAGCAGTCAGGTCATTAATTAATGGGAGTCCTTGTCAAACCAGCATTTAACCCAACATACTCACTCACTCACTCCATTAATGATCCACGTATGGAGAAACCCCACATCCACAATCAAGCTCGCTCGACTCACTCACTCACTCACTCCACTCACTCACTCACTCCACTCCTCACTCACTCCGCTTCGCTCAACTCCACTCCACTCGACCTCATTAACTCACCCACTCACTCCACTCCACATCACTCGCTCACTCACTCACTCAATCGCCCGGCGTCTGCCTCCCTCCCTCCTTTTCTCCCCGCTGTATGTTTTTGCATGATAAACAAAGATCAGATCGATTTTCTTAAATATGTAGATTTTATTTAGCAAGTCTCGAATGAGTCTTGATTATTAACATGATAACTTGCAATACTTTGGCTTCTTGGATATAATCAAAATGATGTAAATTAATGTAAAGTTAAACAAAACCTAGAGCCTGTCACTTTATAGAGCATGATCGGGAAAACATTCCCGAGGCAACACGTGCATCAAAAGGTGCTCGATTACTGGAGATCAGGGCCTAGATTTTCGATGCTCTCTTAGGGCTAAGATAGTCGTAAGTGACATACATTAACATTAACTTACGACTATCTTAGCGCTAAGAGAGCTTCGAAAATCTAGGTGTAGTACATGATAAAATATTGCAAAACGTCATGTCGGAGAAGTGTATTCGTACCTTGATGTATTGGTCATTGAGAATAATTGAGCCAATTAAATTGATAAGAGCTATTGCGGTAGGCCTAGATGTGACTTACTTCACTGTCACACATGTGGCAAAAACGCAACAACCAGCCTCGTGTTACGTCAGTCTGACCAACAGAACTGGGGCCCGTTTCACAAGGTGATCGTAGCGCTACGACTGGTCGTAAGTCTATGTTAAAGTATGGGAGTTACGATCACCTTAGGGCCACGATTGCTTTGTGAAACGGGGCCTTGAACCTCGTGAAAACACTCATACCAGTCTATCAATG